TCAAGGTTTTTCGATAACGCCAGCGGGAGTGGACGAGGCTCTGAAGATTGCCCGCCCGTCAGGAACTTTATCGCAGAGTTGAGCACAGCTCCGCTCGGAGGCCAAAACACTGAAACAACCGCAGATACCGCGAGGTAGCGTGACGCCGGCGCGCCGTCTTCCTTCGACACCCTTCCTTCCTCCCTTCGTCGAAGGAGTTCCGTTTTGAAATTGTCCTTCCGCATCTACTGAACATCTGGTTTAATTAACGAGCAATCAGCTAGGTCAATGGTCAGTCAAATTTTTGGGTGGCCAAAATGCGTCAGTTCAGTAATGATACGAATAAAATAAAGAGATTAAACCTAAACTCATTCATAAAAAAATGGCCAAATTTGACATCTACCGCCACCTATGGGCAACAACTGATATTACAGTTGATTCGTTGTAAGGTGTGAAACGGAAGGATTGACATCAGTCTTAACCGTACCCGTACATTGTTTGGCGGGCCGGATTAGCAAGTCCAGTGGGCCATATCAAGGCCACGGGCCAGAGTTTGGATATGAGAAAAAAAACCCTGTTGTTACTGAAATAATTTTTCAGTAATATACCATTACATTCAAGATCAGGCTAATATATTAGCTATGTTACTCTTACTAATTTCTCTGCAGATGAACCGTGCGATCGTGTCCGTCCACGGTGATGACATACGACACCTGAGGAAGAAGACAGAACCTGTCAGTGCGCAGTTCTGCTGAGAACCACCGGGGGTGGTGTTTAAAATAAAAGCTGTGTCTCAGGTTCAACAATTTAGTTTCTTTACACGCTTGCGATACGATACGATAGCGTGTTTAAGTAAGTGTAAGAAAAGTCAGCGTTTAAACCCGGTAGTACATATGCCAGGCCTGCATGTGGCGCTGTATTCACAAAGCGCTAACACAGTGTTTCCCAAACTTTTTTTCTGGGCGACCCACGTCAATAGAAATTATTCGTAAACTCCTGAGAAACATGCGAGATGACCCCCCAAAAAATCTCCAGCGACCCACCCGAGAGTCGCGACCCAGTCTTTGGGCAATCATGCTCTCACATACTAAAACAGGAAGTATTTGTAGTGGAAGTTCAGAAAATTAAAAAAAAGTTCAGAAAATTAAAAAAAAAAAACATAAACAAAGAGAAACGCAAAACGACGGAGATGGCTAACTGTAGCACGCTAGTGATAGCCAAATTAGCTTCCCCAGCACGGTCAGAAGGAGCGTGGTTTCTGCTTGTTGTCGTGTTGAGCAGGGTTACTGGTGTAAAAGGCGATAGGGGGGCGGGGCTTACCGTATCGTCTCACTCTGCTCCGTTCACGCGGAGTCACTCGAGCCACAGTTTTTGAACCCCTCCACTCTAATATAATAATATAGTATTAATATTATTTTAAAGGGTATTTCGTACAGTTTGATGTTTTAATGTAATTCTGATTATTTATGGCATATGTGTCAAACTCAAGGCCCGGGGGCCGAATGCGGGGGGTCGGAGGGGGAGTCGGAGCAAACGTGGAGGTTGAAGATTTAGGATCCAGACTAAATTTAGGATTAGGATTAGGATTAGACACGTCGGATATTTGGAATGGTGGATGTGAGGGGGAGAAAAGGGGAGAGAGGGTGAGGCAGTCGCTGTGAAAAGCCAAAAAAAAATCAAGAGTGTTTGTGTTACTCCACCCTCCGTGCTGGAACATGCCTAGCGTCCGTTCGACCACATGAGCTCCGCTCAGGAATCAAACTTCTGTTAGATTAGAAAAGTCCTGTTTAGATTCCGCAGTTTTTTTTTAAATCCTGTAAAATGTTAATTAAAACTATTAATCAACTGAATAACAGCAGGTACAGTAGGTGTCAATGTAATGTATTTCAATCATTAGCCAAGACTGGGCCGCCGACCTGAGGTTGGGCCGCCGACCTGAGGCTGAACTCCTCGACATTCTCCAGTGAAATGAAAACCGTTTTTAAATAACCATGTGTTTCGACATCCACGTATCAGAGCAACGATAACTGAACGTGCATTACAAGGCCATTTAAAATCGCATTAATTCCTCAAAATTAATTAATTTGTTACTTCCGACTTGACGGCCATGATTTTGCCAAAGCCACAGTTCACAAGCACGCCTCGTTCTTACAACTAAAAACCGAGCTGAAGTTCTTCCCACGTTTACTGACTGTGTCGGTCAGTTGCTGACCAAGCATCTGAGCAATCAGCTCCTCCAGTGCTGACCTCGTTTCCTAAGGTCAGGAGTCACAGAGAAGCCACGTAAAGAGCAAGTCAATCCCCCTGGTGGTTTGTTTAGGACACGACATTTTGACATTTTTTTTCCTGCCCTGTCAGCTCCTGTTTTCAGCTGAGTGGACAAGTGGTGACAACAGGCAGGGCGTTAAATCACCCACAAATATACATATAAAAATAATATATATAAATATATATATATATAAAAACATATATGTATATATATATATATACACACATATATATCTACATATATATCTACATATATGTATACATACATATATACGCAAAACAAATTATCTTGCGAACCACCTGAGGGTCGCGACCCAGTGTTTGGGAACCAATAGTTTAACAAATATCTGGTCCAACTAGAGAGACTTTTCCAGGACATTCTCCGCTGCTACAAACCTGACAGATTGATTTACAAGTACCCGGATACCACGGAGTCCGTGTCATGGAACAGTCCTAAAACAGTACTGTGTACACAGTGAGACAGTCACCTGACTGGGCCGTCTTCCGTCCGCAGCCCGTCCTGGCCTGCCTCCCACTGCCCGGGGAACAGTGAGCTGATAGGAGGAGAGCTCCTCTGTTTGTTTAGAGTCTGTGGGCAGAAAAGTCGAAAAAAGAATGTCATTCAATAGACATATACTGTATATATACATATATATATTTATATATATTTTATATAATTATATATTTATTTATATATTTTCTGTCACCTAGCAAACAAGATGGTGCCATAGAGGTTGGCTAAACGCTTCACCGCAAAAAATTGCCTATTTTTATATCGCACATTTACAGTGCGTACTTACATGTATGTACAGTTAAACATATACATATATGTAAAAGTAGATGTAAAGATATATTCATAGATATATTTATAGATACGTGCATACGTATACACACATACAGTACATATATAGATACATATATACATAGATATATGTATATAAATATATATAAATGTATATAAATATATATATAAATATATTTACATATATGTATATAAATATATATATACTGTAAATATATACATATAAATATATAATATCGGAAACCTCTGATATCTGTATTGATCTGTTGTGTTTCAGCCAATGGGACGTCACGTCACACTGTCGGCTTCACAAACACCTACAGAAAACAAAGGACACACACTGATACACACACACACACACTGCCTCCATCTGTTCATGACACATGCGGCGCGTGTGGGTGGTGATAGCTACCAACAGTGGGCGCTGCGTTTGTCCTGACAACCTGAGGCCGCGGACACTGAAACCCTTATTTTTGTTCACAAACAACGGTCACATGTCAGGTTTAAGGACAGTGACCAATCACCAATCACCACACACTAAACAGTGACAGCTGAGCAGGAGCGAGGACAACGTCTGGTCCGGGGACCAGTGCCGGTCCGTAGGTCATTTAGTACCGGACCGCAATGGGACACAGTGAAATATCTCTTTACTGTTTTCTGTCAATGTTTTAAAAACCACAGGTCAAAGGTCACGCGGACTCTGACACCAATAAAATAAAGTCGACGTTTTATTTTGAAAATTTTACCATCCTTCAAAGACCGGTTGACCGGTCCATGGTACAAAAAAAGGGTCGGGGACCGATTTACGAAATCGGTGATTTATGAAACCCATGATATACGAAAGAAAACCTAGCCATAAATCAGTTGATCAACTCTTCAGTCAACGTCGGAGAACTACCGAACTCGAAGACTTCGGGCCGCGTTTTCATAAAAAAACATAGACGAGGAAGAC